CCGAGGGGTCCCAGACTGCGAGAGGGCACAGGCCGGGCTGGGGGACCCCCCTCCCCCCGCCCCTAGAGTGCACAAATTTTTGTGCACCGGGCCTCTAGTATATATATATTTTTCTATAGCGTCTATGTTTTCTGTCAAAAGGTGTTCTTGATCCATAGGCTGTTTAAAGAATTTTATTGAAAAGTTTAGTGTTTCACTTTAACAATTAAATCTTTACTTCATCTGGAATTTATTTTTATACATTAGGTATCAGAAATTCAACTTTTTAGGTTAGCACATTGTGCTTACTCACCCTTTTCCTATTGATCTGAAATAGATCCTCCATATTATTTCTGGGCTATTAAGTTCCACTGACCTAATTCTCTGTACCCATGCCAATACAATACTGTTTTGATTATAGTAGCTTTAAAATATGATTTAATATCTGTTCATGTCAGTCCCACTTCCAAATCTTTTTAAGTTACTTTAGCCAGTCTCAGAAATCTATTATTTCATAGGTACTTTAAGAATTTCATACAATTAAAAAACAATTGGATTTTAATTAATCTTCATTGAAAGTTACACTCTGACTGGAGGAAAACAGATACTTTTAAATATTAAGTCACATATCTGAGACATACTGCATCTTTCCATTTGATCAGTTCTTGTTCTTTGTCCTTTTATGTTAAAGTTTCTCCCTACAGATTCCACACTTTTCTTATTAAATTTTTCCCTGCATATATTATAAGAATTTCCACCAGGATATATGTCAAACTCAATGTATCTAAACACAAACTAATCGAAGAGTCAAGACAGTATCTTCAATAAACGTTGGGAAAACTAGTACAGATACATGCAAAAAACAAGACTAGACACCAACTTACACCATACTCAAAAATAAACTCAAAATGAATAAAAGACTTAAATGTTAAGTCATAAAACCATAAAGATCTTAGACATCTCTCATAGCAATATGTTTGCAGATACATCTCTTAGGGCAAAGGAAACTAAGGAGAAAATAAACAAATGGGACTACGTCAAAATAAAAAAGCTTCTGCATAGTGAAAGAAACCATCAACAAAATGAAAAGGGAGCCCAGTGTATAGGAGAACATATTGGGCAATGATACATCTGATAAACAGTTAATATCCAAAATATATAAGGAACTCATACAACTTAACAAAAGTAAGACAAATGATCCAATTAAAAAGTGGGTAAAGGACCTAAATAGACACTTCTTCAAAGCGGACATTCAGATGGATGAGACATACAAAAAAATGCTCCAAGTCACTGATCATCAGAGAGATGAAAATTAGATCAATGAGATATCACCTCATACCAGTCAGAACAGCTACCATCAACAAATCAACAAATGACAAGTGCTAGCCAGGATGTGGAGAAAAGGGAGCACTAGTTCACTGTTGGTGGGAATGCAGACTGGTGCAGCAATTCTGGAAAACAGTATGGAGTTTCCTCAAAAAATTAAATATGAAAAAGAAAACTTAAATATGGAACTTCCATTTGACCCAGTGATCCCACTTGTAGGAATATATCCTAAGAAACCCAAAAGACCAAACAGAAAGAATGTATGCACCCCTAAGTTCATAGCAGAGCAATTTACAATAACTAATTTCTGGAAACAACCCAAGTGCACATCAGTAGATGAGTGGATAAAAAAGCTGTGGGCACTCTCCCTTCAGGAGCCTTTCCCCTCCTCCTTCCCTCCCCCTCCCCCCCGGGCAACAACAACAACAAAAAAAGCTGTGGTACATTTACACCATGGAATACTATGCAGCAGTAAAAAAGAAGGATCTCTTACCCTTTGAGACAGCATGGAGGGACCTGGAGAGTATTATGCTAAGCAAAATAAGCCAGTCAGAAAAAGACAAGTATCACATGATCACACTCATATATGTAGAATCTAATGAACAAAATATACTGTTGAACAAAAGAGATCCAGAGACACAGAAGCATGGAAGAGACTATGGAATCTCAGAGGGAAGGCAGGGGTGAGGGGGTGGTGAGGAGTAGGGGGGAGGTAGAAAGAGATCAACCAAAGACTTTGTATGCATAACCCATGGACACAGACAATATGGTGGTGGAGGCCAGAGGCGAGGTTAGGCAATAAGGGGTCAATGGGAGAAAAAAGGGGACATATGTAATAGTTTCAACAATAAAGATTAAAAATTAAATAAACACAAGCTAATCAACATTAGCCTAAAATCTATCATCCTAAACATTCTAATAACACTACTTACCATCCAGTCACTCAGCACGCATTTTTTTCAATGTCCTATATGTATAAGACAGTATAGCAATGGCTATGAAGGATATGAAAATGAATATGCCATATTCCCTATATAATTTCAAAATAAATACTATTTTGTCAAAGTAAAAGATGTAAAAGCTATAATAATATAACATAAGGCAAAACAAAGTAAGTACTCTTAAAGTACAAACTGTGTACTAGAAGGAAAAATTAGTTCTAATGGAGTTGTAGGGCACTCTGACAGCAGACATTCCAGCTAGATCTTCAACATGGTCTAGAAGGAAAGAGCATGAAAATGCACTGCACGATATGAAGCTGGAAAGCTCAGCCAGGGCAAGATTACAGGAACTCTGTTACGATCCCAGAGCCTCATGCCTCCTTTTCCAGACAGTCAGCTGCCAATCTTTACCAAGTTGCCTTATTCCACGATTACAATTTCCCTCAAAATCATTCCCTTTTTTTCCATACCCACTATTGCTCTCAGAACAATGAGCTTTTAAAACCTTGAGTTCTAGTTCCAAATGAGCCACTGATTTTCTATGTAATTTAAAATGAACCCTACCACCACACCCTAACCTCCTGTTGCTCCTATTTCTCTATAACATAACTGACTTTGAGCTGGTTATAATAATTAAGTCTATAAATCAGTAGCTCTCAATCCTGAACACCAGGATTACCTGTGAAATACTTACTTAAATCATATATGGGGCAGCAATGGGGGAGGGCAATGTATTGATGATGAGGATTGAAAATCCCTGCTATAAATATTTGGAGGGCTCAAAGTGAAATGCTTACTGTGATGGTCTGATGTTCAATTCTCAATTTTTCCACTCCAACACCATAAAGTTCACGTAGAATACACATAATTCTTGTCTTTTTACCAGCACCTGACGGACCATACACTAACAAATGAGGAAAGTCACCACACTGTACCTGGGAAAAGAAAAAAAATCAAACAATGAATGACGCATTTTCCTAATCACACAATTGTTCTGGGTAGAATTAAACTCTTTTTAAGTATCAATATTTTGTATCTCTACCTATGAAACTTCAAATATATATGTATGCGTGTGTGTGTGTGTGTGTGTGTGTGTGTATGAGTATACATATATTTTTTTACATTTATGGAATGTTGATTATTCCCTGGCATTAATTTTATGTAATTATATACCTAGCATACATGCTTGATACAATACCATATGCTAGAAAGTAAGAACTCCCAAACCTGGCTGACTGTCAGAATCTCCTAGAGAACTTTTTAAATTAAAAGACTGGTTGGTTATTAGATCCATTCCATCAAATTATGATTTAGTAACTGAAATTAATGTCTGTCTTAGTTTGGGTTTTCACACACCGTCCCTTTGATAAGAACCGAGTGCATTTGGCCTATTTGGGAAGTAAAGAAAAATTTTGTAGGGAAGCAATAGGAAAAGAAGGCAGAGTGTATCATCAACTTAAATACCATTCTGGGCACATGAGACTAGATCCTGCTGGGGATCTTGAAGCTAAAGTTAAAATACACCACAGTATTACCCGTCTCAAGGGTGCAGAAGATGGAGTCTGACATGCTCTCTCTCATCAATCCTTTGTTAAAGCTAGACTGGAAAAGTGGACGGGGAGTAGTGAACATTAATTCCCAAGTATTTCAAATCAATTTAGGGGTGTCAGCAAGAGAAAGCCTCAGGAAGTGCAAATACAGGGAGGTGAAAGTCAGTCTGTGTGCACTTACAAGAAAGAGCAAGGGGACAAAGTAGAGCACCGATAGTGCTGCATTACAGTGCAAGACTGTGTTTTTTATAACGTTTCCCAGGTGACACTGATGATCAGTCTGGTTTAGGAATTTATAATATGAAAGGCTATAAAGATGATGAAAACACATCTGTGCCTCGGATATATAAAATCTTGTGGAGCAAAAGTTTTGTAAGTAACCATTATAGAAAAAATAAGTATCTTAAGAGAAGTACTTATTACAGTAAATTTTAACACTTTGTAAACTCATCTAACTCTGGCACTGAAAAAAAATGTCTCAAGGAAAGAGACTATTCAACTAATAATACATACTCCTCAAATACTAGCTGCCTTTGTTTTTTAATCTTCAATCTAATCAAAAATAAAGGTTATGCTTTAAATGTTTCATAGTTTTATTAAACTGTAGACAACAATAAAAAGGTAAACATTTTTTAAAAGCAAATCTGTTAACTCATAAGATGAATATATTAAATTTTTGTCCAAAACATTTATTCCAAATTCTGTAAAAAAGCCACAGATAATGTAAAATGTATCTTTTGTCTAAGAAAAATGAAGTGAAAGCTATTGTGAGAAAATGCAATTTGTCTATAAATAAAGTATACAGATGTAATAGGTTTATTTTTAATTAGCATAGATGGAATACCAATAATTAACGAAGAGGAAAAAAACCTATCTCACAACACTATCAACTCTTCTAGTGACTATCATATAAACGGATGGAGTTCCTTTTTTATTAGTTCTCATTTTTAAAAAGTACTTTAGTACCTGTAATTGGTGAGCAAAAACACTTTTATCAGCACGTGGTAGTTTTAGGTCCTTAAAAGGGGTGGATAAATGGCTTCCAGGGACAAAAGATTTTTCTGAAGACCCTCTTCCCTGTCCACTCCCTACAAAATTTGGTTCGCTTCTCACAAACCTTGCCATCAGCATTTTATAAACGACAACATAAAAATAGGCATCAGGATGGGGGAGGGGGGGTCTTCCACATGGAATTAAACTCAAGGACAACCTAATTAGCAACGTATTTTAGAATTATAAATGACCTTAGAAATGAATAAGCCAAATACCTTCCCATCTGTAAGGAGGACAATGACACCAGGAAATTTTAAGTAAGCTGGTTTAAAAAAAATCAGTGGGATGACGTCACTTCTCTGTTCCAAACCTTCCGAAGGCTTCCCACCCACCTCTGTGGAATTTACTGCATTTGCACCCCGTCCCAAACACACACCCCATTTCCTCTTCCTCCTCCCTCTGCCCACTATTACCCAGCTACACCGGCTGGAGGACCCCAGAAGCTGCGCACACTCCTGCCTCCGAGACTCTGTGCTTGCTGTTCCCTCCACCCGTTCCCTCTGCCCCGCGTCTGAACCCGGGTTTTCTCACTCCATCTGGGACTCGTCTGGGCTCAGACGACAGTTCTCAGCCAGCCTATCCTTGTTTACCGGCACGACCTTCGCCCCCACCCCCCTTTCCCCTTCACTGTTTTATTGTTCCCCACAGCAGCCGTCACCTCCAGCGGCGGCGGGGCCAAGGCCGG